GGCGGTTTTGATTGATGAATTCACAAGTAAGAAATGACTGGATTTTACAAGCTAATCTACTAATCATTATACTAATCAATGAGATGTTAGTGACAAATCTATGCGCCATCCATGCCAAACGTGTTACCATCCAGGAAAGGGATATGAAATTGGTGCAGAGGTTGCGACAAATCATGACAGGCAGTCGCATCCCAGGACGTGGAAATGGTTATTAGTAGTTTTCACTTTTTTCACTTTTTTTGATTTTTCATTTTGATTTTTTGATGATATCCAGGAAAATGATTGTTTTTTGATTGTTTTTTTGATTTGATTTTTTTCTTAGCTTAATCAGAATGAAATGAGATGTTTCTGCAACAGACAAATCCTCATATAAATCTCTATTGGTGAGTGTCTATAAGTGGAATTAAGTAATTACAGTGGAAAAACACAAAAAAACCCATTTGACCCAAATGTCACTATAGGCTGCCGTAGAAAGCCTGGGGCCGGATCCTGAACGCGTTACATCTAAGTGAAAAATAATGGTATTTAAACGTTTGGCTCACAAATTCAGAGTATTTGAAGGAAGTGCAAATCATAAGTGTTCTACAATCTTTACTGGGATCAACCTTAGCGAATATCATAAGTTTGACTTCGTGGAACACTATATTACAAATAATTAATACTACCTATAAGTTTATTATTATTTAATTTTTTAATAAAAGTGTAGCTTTTAACATAATTTATAGTAAGTTAATAATAAATGATACAATTTGAAAGATAATAATGTAGTTACATTATCAGAAAGAGCAAGAGATTTATAGTACAGAATATACATACATGTCTCCTGTAGGGTTAGGGTTAGGGTTAGGGTTAGGGTTAGGGTTAGGGTTAGGGTTAGGGTTAGGGTTAGGGTTAGGGTTAGGGTTAGGGTTAGGGTTAGGGTTAGGGTTAGGGTTAGGGTTAGGGTTAGGGTTAGGGTTAGGGTTAGGGTTAGGGTTAGGGTTAGGGTTAGGGTTAGGGTTAGGGTTAGGGTTAGGGTTAGGGTTAGGGTTAGGGTTAGGGTTAGGGTTAGGGTTGA